GGCTTCTCTTCCACTGTGGATCTCTCTGTATCCTTCCTGCTGTGGTCTGAATGTTTCCTCCCCCAAATCCATATGCTGAAATCCTGACCCTCCAAGGTGATGGCATAAGGAGGCGAGGTGTTGGAAAGGTGTTTGAGTCATGAGAAGGGAGCCATGAATGGGATTAGTGTCCTTATAAAAGAGACTCCTAAAAGACCTTTGCCCGTTTTACCACAGGAGGACATAGTAAAAATCTGCAACCTGGAAGTGAGCCCTCATTCAACCATGCTGGACCCTATCTTGACTTTCAGCCTCTAGAATTGTGAGAAATAAATGTCTGTTGTTTATAAACTTCCCAGTCTGCTGTTCTGTTATAGCAGCCTGCACAAATACACTTCTTCACCTCCCTCCCTTCTTCTTTTCCTTTTTTCTTTTTCTGATAGAATTCATCTCTCTTAGATTTCATCAGTGCATTTGCTCATTTATTAAAAACAGATTTTCTAAGTGTCTACTATACTTTACTATGTATCTACAATGTTCCAGGTACTGTTTTAGGTTCTGAGGATATAAATGACAGACAAAAGAGACCAATTGTCTATCCTCAAGATGCTTATCTTCTAGAACTCTCTGGAGTTTGACTGAACTCTGGCTCTCCCATCAATAGCTTTATAGATTTGTGGCGAGTTATTTAATGGAGCTATGCCTCATTTCATCCCAATCCCAAAGAAAGGCAGTGCCAAAGAATGTTCAAACTACCACACAATTACACTCATCTCACACGCTAGCAAGGTAATGCTCAAAATTCTCCAAGCCAGGCTTCAACAGTACGTGAACCATGAACTTCCAGATGTTCAAGCTGGATTTAGAAAAGGCAGAGGAACCATAGGTCAAATTGCCAACATCCACTGTATCATCAAAAAAGCAGGAGAGTTCCAGAGAAACATCTACTTCTACATTATTGATTGCGCCAAAGCCTTTGACTGAGTGGATCACAACAAACTGTGGAAAATTCTGAAAGAGATGGGAGTACCAGACCACCTGACCTGCCTCTTGAGAAATCTGTATGCAGGTCAAGAAGCAATAGTTAGAAATAGATATGAAACAACAGACTGGTTCTAAATTGGGAAAGGTGTACATCAAGGCTATATATTGTCACCCTTCTTATTTAACTTATATACAGAATATATCATGCAAAATGCTGGACTGGATGAAGCACAAGGTGGAATCAAGATTGCCAGGAGAAATATCAATAACCTCAGGTGCGAAGATGACATCACTCTTATGGCAGAAAGAGAAGAGGAACTAAAGAACCTCTTGATGAAAGTGAAAGAGGAGAGTGAAAAAGCTGGCTTAAAACTCAACATTAAGAAAACTAAGATCATGGCATCTGGTTCCATCATCACTTCATGGCAAATGGATGGGGAAACAATGGAAACAGTGAGAGACTTTATTTGGGGGACTCCAAAATCACTGCAGATGGTGACTGTAGCCACGAAATTAAAAACTCTTGTTCCTTGGAAGAAAAGCTATGACCAACCTAGATAGCATATTAAAAAGCAGAGACATTACTTTGCCAACAAAGGCCTGTATAGTCAAACTATGGTTTTTCCAGTAGTCACATATGGGTGTGAGAGTAGGACTATAAAGAAAGCCGAGCACCGAAGAATTGATGCTTTTGAACTGTGGTGTTGGAGAAGACTCTTGAGAGTCCCTTGGACTGCAAGGAGATCCAACCAGTCCATCCTAAAGGAGATCAGTCCTGGGTGTTCATTGGAAGGACTGATGCTGAAGCTGAAACTCCATTACTTTGGCCACCTGATGTGAAGAACTGACTCATTGGAAAAGACCCTGGTGCTGGGAAAGATTGAAGGCGGGAGAAGGGGATGACAGAGGATGAGATGGTTGGCCGACATCACCGACTCGATGGACTTGAGTTTGAGCAAGCTCCTGGAGTTGGTGAAGGACAGGGAGGCCTGGTGCACTGCAGTCCATGCGGTCGCAAAGAGTTGGACATGACTGAGCGACTGAACTGAGTGACTGAAGTGAACTGAACTGATGCCTCATTTACTTTCCTACTGGTGGCTCAGAAGGTAAAGAATCTGCCTGCAATGCAGGAGACCCAGGTTTGATTCCTGGGTTGGGAAGATCCCTTGGAGAAGGGCATGGCAACCTACTGCCATATTCTTGCTGGAGAATCCCACGGTAGAGGAGCCTGTCAGGCTATCATCCATAGCGTTGCATAGAGTGGGATATGACTTAAGTGACTTAGCATTCATGTATAGATGCCTTGTTTTCCTCTTCATAGAATGGGGATAATATTAGCTTTTCCCTCAGTCGCCCTTTAAAAGGATCAAATGAGATAGTATCTTTAAAGTGTTTAGGAGCAGAGTGTGTGGCTATGAGCTAGTGTGTAATGCATGCTTCTCGTCTCCCTGTCATTGTTTGTACTCTCATCATGGTGTTTCTCCCTGAGATGCTTATTGTCTCATTTGCCCGGCCACCCGAGAGACTTTTCCTTGTGCCTCAGGACCAGGGAGCAAGCAGGAGCTGGCTCTGAAAATGCCCAGGGAGCAGCTGTTGTGAGATTAGCACTGAATTATTTCAGTGAAAAGCACTATTCAAGAATACCTTAATGTGTTGACCCTAGGATCCTGCCAGGAGATGTGGGGACCAACACCCTTTATACTTAGAAACACGTGAGGAGAAACAAATCAAAATGAGGTTAAAGGATACTGTGTGAATCCAATGATTGATTGGACGGTGGCAAGAGTCAGATCTCTGGCTTTTTCAAAGCATAGCCTCTCCCTCTTTTTATATTTATGATGTGCATTTTAGTAAGCAGTATTCTTGCCAGGAAAATCCCATGGACAGTGGAGGCTGGCGGGCTACAGTCCATGGGGTTGCAAAGAGTCGGACATGACTGAGCACAAGCTCTATGTATACTATACTATACCACAGTAGTCATAGAATCTTCTCTGCTTCTGCTTGCCCATGTCCCAATACTTTAAAACCTTTTGATATTGGTGAAAGAGGCAAGTCATTTCAGACATTTTTTCAGACATACTCAATTCTACTTTAGCAGTGTCCCTCAGTCCTATATGCCTTGCAGGTCACTTTCCTGGTTTCTGACAAGTATTGTGATGAATTACTAGCTGGGGGTAGCTTGCGTTTCTTCACACTATTGATTTTAGGAAAATTCAAGCTTTCAGAAAGTTGGAAAGCCAATATTTAATGTCATTTGTCCTGAAAACAACACTTGTCCAAAAAAGAAACAGTCACCACACTTTATACCTTCATTAAATCAATGACATATTTCTTTTAAAAAAAAGTGTTTAAAAATATTTTTTTTTAATAGAGGAAAAGAAAATCCTAACATTTTAAGATTACTCTGTTTTTTATAAACCTCTAGGTATAGTGTACTCTTTTTATTAAGATTTTGTTTTTGATGTGGACCATTTTTTAAAAACTTTATTGAATTTATTAAAATATCCCTTCTGTTTTATATTTTGTATTTTTTTTTTTTTTGGTTCCGAGGCATATGGTATCTTAGCTCTTTGACCAGGAATCAAACCCACACTCCCTGCATTGGAAGGTGAAGTATCGACCACTGGATTGCCAGGGATGCCCTCTAGTTTACTCTTAAAACAAGTTTTTATTTGTTTATCTATTACTGTTGGTAATTGCTAAACCACATGCACTGCATAAGTAATAGATGGGAGCCTGGTGAGCTATAGTCCATGGGGTTGCGGAGAGTTGGACACAACTGAGCTATTGACATACACACATACACAATACCAATTTTTGTGAACTATTACACCAAGAAGTGTTCACTTCTTTTTACCCTTAATATTTTGTCTCTACATTAATATCCTCCACAAGTCAGAGTAGTCCACTTGGTCTTGGAGTGGTAGCTTCATTTTCATAATTCGGGTGTGAGATGTTGACAAAAGTGTTTTTAGAGTTTATTTTGGTTACAATTGTTGTTTTCCTTCCCCACTCCACCCCCGCCTCCCATGTATAATTATCTCTTACAAGAAGGTCCTAGCCTATCTCTGTCTTAAGCCAAGTGTATGATTTTGAGCAGGTAATTTAGCTTCAGAGGGTTTTGTTCTTTTCATGAGTAATGTGAAGGTCTGAATCTTTCTGATCTCTAAGGTTTTTTGTCATCTCTAAAGGTTTCTGGATCTATTAAAATCCATATTTTCGCCCATGGGAGATACAGTATCTGAGATTTGATAATAAAAGTACTACAGTTTATTCTGTATGCAAGGCTGAAATCAGTTTCATTACTCTGGGTAAGTCATTAAAAGACATGAACAACAAAATGTACTTGACACTAAAACTATATTGATTCCAGCTTAAATCTCCTTTGGTGCCTCAGGAAGCTCTCTAGGCTATGGGAAGGCTTCAGGCTGCTCTGGGAGCACTGTCTCTGTTGGTGCAGATGAAATATTAGACTGGAGTCTCCTGGGATATTTTTGGATTTAATTGTCCAAATAAATTCCACTATCAACACATTTACTTGTTATCTGCTCCTGTCTTATCCAGTAGAGAACACAAAGAATCAAACAATGATATTCACATATTTTGATTGTCAGAATTTCAGATTAAGTAAACTTTATTTTGTGAGTTCCACACATGAGTCATTAATTAATGGATATAAAGGTAAGAAAAGATATTGAAGGTACTGATATGTGGAACTGAGTGTACTAAATTGAGGATAGAAGGATTGATATCTAAATGGTCTAAAGGCAAGAGAAAGATGTTGAAGGTCAAGATATGTGGATCTGAGTGTACTATATTGGGGATAGAAGGGCTGATATCTAGACGAACTGAAGAAATTGCTTTACACTGACTGCCGTGGGCACCTGGGTTCTTTGTAATCGGATTATATCATTAGACATTTTATTTTATAAAAAAATGGCCTAACAATTTTCTTTATTTTTTGGACAGACTCCTATTCTACACCCTCTTTCCATTAGTATGAGATGACCATTGAGAATACACTGTTAGTTCCTTACCTTGAAGAAGGTCATTGTCGATCCGTCTCTGACAGCCCCATATTCTATCTTGGTTTGTTTCGCCAAATCATCCGCTGAGTCAATGGGGGATTCCATTCGCTCCACTGTCAAGAAGGCGGCCAGATTGGCAGTGTAGGATGAAATGATGATTAGGGTGAAAAACCACCATATCCCTCCAACTATTCTGGTGGAGAGGGCTTTGGGCATCAACTCTGATCCTGTGATGGTATCATCAGAGTAAGAGTGTTAAACAGAGGTGTTAGAAGGGAGGAGACTCAAGATTCAACAGTCGTCTAGAGAGATAATGCATTTTTGTGACTCAAAATCATAAATTTATCAAGCATTTGTTCTCTTGTGTGTAGGTGAATAGATGTATCTTCTAGAAAATGAAGCAAAATCTAAATGATCTTTTATCATTTATCACTGCTGTTGCTTAAATGTGATCTATTTCCATTTGATGGTTTTAATAGTTTTAACCCTGAGATATCTTATGTCTAAAATTTACAAACAGTTTAGTTGCTTAGAGTTGAGTTTGTTTGCTTGTTTTTGCTGAAAAATCCTCAGGGTTCTGGCCTTTTTGTACTGTCTAATATGCATCTTATTGTGTGAGATAAAATGTTCTAGGTTGTACAACAGTGAAAGCTTTAAAATATTAATAATATTTTATTTAATATTAAAGAATGGGAGAAACTTTCAAAAGATTTACATAGCATGCTATTTATCACATGCATTTAATAAAACACTATTTTACAAATCAAATGATATCGGATGCAACTGTACTTGATGGCTGATGAATCATTTTTTTATTGTTTTATGTTATTTTTGAAGTCAAAATTATTTTTTTAATGTTGATTCTTGTTTAACTGAAAATGATATATTCACTGAAAAGGCACAATTTTGTCCTCGAATAAAGTACAATTTAATTATACTTCAAAGACTGGCTGTTTTGCAGGTGGAAAGGGGCCCTTCTTGGTAAAAACACTCATTTTAGGTGTTATGAGATGATTCCTGATTATTTGTATAAAGGTAGTATAGAGGCATTTAATGTATTTACAAAAAAAAGAAAAAACATCTTTCTCTCTTGAGGAAAGGGTATATGGGCAAAGTTTACTTACACAAAGGACAAGCATCTGTGAAAGCTCTCTAGCTCAAAACTTTTGATCAAGCTGAGCTATGGAAGGCTATAAATCCAGTAGCAGAACCGAAAGGGGCAGAAAGGTATATGCAGCCCTTACCCTAATTGTATTGATCCATGGATGGATTTTGGTTAATCTGCTTGCCTGAAATTCACCATTGCTTCTCTCTTGGCATTTTCTCCATAAACTTGGAGAAATGATAGAGTTTATGGGACCACTTAAGAAGTGAAAGGAAAACTGCTACTGCTAAGTCACTTCAGTCGTGTCCGACTCTGTGCGACCCCATCCCTGGGATTCTCCAGGCAAGAACACTGGAGTGGGTTTCCATTTCCTTCTCCAATGCATAAAAGTGAAAAGTCAAAGTGAAGTCGCTCAGACATGTCCAAGTCTTTGTGACCCCATGGTCTGCAGCCTACCAGGCTCTTCTGTCCATGGGATACACCCTAAGTTAAATCTTAAGTGTGAAGTTCAGCAGGTGAATTATGTGGTTTAAAGTAGTCTTTCACTGTTCTGATTGTCTTGAAGTTTTGTCGTTAATGACTTAAGATAGGGAAATTGGAGTTTACCAATCTACAAATACATGAATTTATGCTCAAGGTTAATCTGTAAACAAATGCAAATATTGCTCATAAAATCAGAGTCAGCTCCAGGCTCATGATATGCAGATAAATGTTGGCAGTTTCTTAGCTTTAAATTAGCTATATTCTTCTAAAGCTATTCTTTGTACTTTATTTTCTTTTAATGAGGTTAATGGCTTCACCGTGGTTTTTATTTCTTTTTTTTTTTTGCTTGTTTGTTTGAATTTGAGTGTGTAATGTTACACAGATTTATAACAGTTTTCATCAAATTGCTTCTAAGGATTTAGTAAGATAGTGCGTTGCTGTTGTAATCTTGCAGTTTAATGGGATTTATATGCCTGTGGGTGTGTATGTTTAATGCCCAAGTTTGTTTCATATCTTCGTGCTGAATTGATCTAGCAGCCTCGTGGCAGTGTGATATTATTTTAGATCTTTAGTTGGCTATCATTAAAACACCATTTATTTCATAAAATACCCATAGGAAATAGGTAATACAGTTAGTAGACATATTTCCTTAGCTTATAGGTATAGATTTTCTTCTGTGAATTTATCCTTATTTTATTTGGTTGCATTTGTGAAAAGATCAGGTTTTAATTTATTATTTGTATAATTGTGTATTATATGGCAGGAAAACTGGGCAGACAGATGGATAACCAACTGTCTACATGCAATAATAAATTCACTTCTATCACACTTCAAAATAAAATGTATTTATACATTTGAATGAAGTTGTCTCGGAAATTAAAAATAATTGATAGGAACCTATTCGTACTACATTTTAAACCCTTGGTAGATGGTATGAATTTCTCAACACTTCATCTTTTGAAAAAATTCACAGTTTTCTGACTTTCATGGCTCTCAGTGTTAACTGATATACCTAGAAATGACTTCACTCAAGTAGAGATGATTTGTTAAAGTTCAGAACTCTAGAGGATGAAATCATGACAGTAATAAAAGTAGAATAAAACATCATCAGAAAATATTTGGGATGAGAGACAATACTTGCTGAAGTCTCTTTAGTGCCTTTTACGGCAGACATGACAGCCAATCCTGATCCAGACTTTGCTCACGCTCTGTAGAAAAGAGAAAGCCTGATCATCACATTAAAAAACAAAATTAAACAAAATGGTTTCCAATTGAGTACAGTGACAAACTTCTGCTAGCAAGAGCACAACAGTCAGTATAGAAGTTAGCTACCCGGTCCAATGCCACATGCTAAGGACAAATGCACCAGAATAGTCACCAGTCTGCAAATTTGTACATCGTAATATTTTTTTCACCTGACAGATACTTTAAACTTCTTGAAAAACAAGCAGAGTCTGGTTGGGGCTGACTGTCATGTACCCAAGGTCCTGGTAACTAGCAGACACTGCATCCCACGGTTTGCTGTGGATGATGGGAAACTCCAAACAGGTAGAGTATCAAAGAGAAATTTAGGGAGAGGGTATTCCCATATGATGGGCTTCCCTTGTGGCTCAGCAGTAAAGAATCTGCCTTCCAGTTCAGGAGACATGGGTTTGATCCCTGGATCGGGAAGATCCATGGAAAAGGATGTGGCAACTCCCTCCAGTATTCTTGCCTGGGAAATCCCAGAGGAGCTGGCAGGCTACAGTCCTAGGGGTCGCAGAGTTGGGCATGACATAGCGACTAAACAACAACAATAACGCTCATATGACAAAAGGCAGTCACGGTCACGTATACCTGCACAGGCATGCTGCATACTCTAGGAAACCCAAGGCTATATTTTCCTATTCTAATGGCATAGGAAGGCAAGCTACTGGTGAGGAAGGAAGTCTCTTTCACTCTTTGAAAGTGATTGCCCACAAGATAAATGCCTTAAAAACTAAATGCACTGGTAAAGCAGTATATGTCATCCAATGAGTTTTCCTGTGGGATTTATAGTTCTGTCTTATGCTTTAAACTCACGCAAGTGATTTCCAGTAAATCAGGTGCTGGGTCTGCACCTACTTTGCACTGCCTGAATAAACTATACTTAACTGTGTGTTGAGATGATTTACTCACTTTGCTCAATTATTTGGTATTTCCACACTAGAAACCCTTGTTCTCTCTCCTTGGAATTTTTAAACACAATATAAACACTTCGAGTAGCATGATAACAAGTCCCTCCTGAGAAGCTTTAGGGTTTACCCCTAAGTAACAAATATCTTTAATATATATCCTAGTTGAAACTTCCTTTGCCAATTTATTTTGCAGCTTGTTGTCAAATAAGGAGATATTCCAAACACAAGAGCATCTGTGACTGATGATTTTCTTAAATTAATGCATTTAATCTTGAGAAGTATTTTCTAGACCATACGCCTGGAATCAAAGCTGAGGAAAATCCACAGAAGTGTTGGATTTCTTCCAAAGGTTAAAACAACTCACTCCTCCCTTCCCCACAAAATCAAAATCCTCCAAATCATAGAAAATGTACAAAATATATTACATTTCTGTGGTTTGAATTTCATTTCCTCCAACATCTCCAGTTTACTGTTGCTATGGTTACTAGCTGAGGGAGATTGTAAAAAGTTACTGGGAAACTAAGATAAATCCCAGTAGGGTTTGTCAGAGTGGTAATTAGGTGACAGTTTTAGGGACTGCCATCTATTGGAAGGCTGTAAGTCAACCTAATTCTCAAAGGATTCAAATTTTATCCTTTTTCAAATTGTAACTTGTGAGGTTATGACTAAAAAGGAAAAGATAGATATCTCCATCTATGCCAGTTTGTAAACAATTTCTAAGGTAATTTATCCTTTCCTTCCCTCTAGGAAAATTTGTATTTGTTGCTTGAGAGAAGTTTATTTTAGATCTGTAGCAAAGGAATTCTGTTCCTGTCATATTTTTGTCTTTTTTATTTTTAGGACTGTCTAGGAAGCTGGGTTCAATCTTTTTAACTTCTGAGTTGGTTTTTAGCCTACTCCCTATCTTCTTCGTGGAGTTTACCAGCATAAAAGCCTGTCAGCAGACCGTGGGATGCGTGTGACAAAGATGGGCAACCTTGTACCTTGTTGCATGAGAGCTCCAACTCCAAACCAGAAACTATTTAGTAAAGTAAAATTGTTTTCCACCACGTCTGAGTCAGGGTTGCAAGGGTGGGGGTTATACCACTCGTAGGGTGTAAACCTGTGGTAGTTAACAGAAACAGTCTGTAAACATGAGGTAGATACTTGCGGCACCAGCAGAAATCCACTGAACGAGGCACCACACCCAGCAGCTAATGAGGGACGCATCAAACCAAACAGTAGGCCGGGTTCATAAACTTATAGCTTTGGTGGGCAAAGTGCAAAGGAGACTCTATACATTATATATTTACCAGACTTCTGATTTCTAGACAAAGCCCATTGGTTGGCTGGAACCATATTCCTCAGATCTATGTCCACTGAATTTTTCTGAGTTTTCACTCATTTCCATTTTATTGAACACCTAGATGGACTGCAAAGGGAGGTCCACTCATCCCAAGTATTTACCCCACAGAGCAGTGATGACAATGATACACACAGTTGCATACCAACTGTAATATCAAGATCCTGTGTCGCTAGGTGCTGAGGAAGACACGAGATACAGGGCTGACTGGACTTCAAGGGTTATTGACTGATAGATCAAAGGAGCCTATGTAGTCTAGTGATTTCATAATGCATCAAAGAAGTTGCAAGTCTCAAACGATTAGTGAACAAAAAGAAGGTCTGGATTGGGGTGTATTTGATGTTTTTATGATAGTATGTGGAGATAAAAATCCCAATCTTTAAAGGAAGAGATAAAGTTCAAATTTAGAAGTACCCTGGCCCAGGCATCAGACTTCATTAATGTTAAGGCCAGAGCATGTCTGGACGGACAGTTTTAGATTCAGACTTTCCTCTAAGATTCATTTCGAATTGTTTCTACAACTGTGAACAGTGGTCATTTGATCACCAGCCCTAGTTGGTGAGGAAGTCAACCTTGAACAAGTAATTTAAACTCTCTGGCTTCAGTTTCCTTATTTTTAAAGAAGAAAGAATCCAGATATCTCTAAGTTGTGTTAAAATAAAAATTTGAGGGGCTGAAATGATTTTGGTTCTTCTATTTTCTAAACATCTGCCTGACCTCTACAAGTCCAAGGAGCTCCCTACTCTGCGGTTCTTTTTTAAGACTATCTTTCCAAGGGGCACTTATTTTTCCAAAAAAGACATTAGCAAGTGCTCTGTGAAGCGATCTGGAAATGATTTAAAATGCAGTAGTCCTTAGCACTGAAAGCTATGCCATTTGCCACTGGGTCTTTTTAATGCAAGCAGGAGTGTAAGAGTAATGTTAAACCCCATAAAGTCATGAGAACATATGGAATGCTCTCCGTCCATAAGGTTTCAGCAGTAAACAATAGTAGGTAGCTGACACGAGGTGGGGAGTTGGTGTTAAGGTGAATACATTATCTATAGCGAGAAGCGGGGCACACTTTGAATCAGGCACAAGGAAGTGGGCAGACAGTTCTAAATGAAACACCATGCTCTAAACCTGCAGACCCCTTCTGAAAAGTATACAGGGTCTCCTCATCAAGTCTTAAGGAGGCTAGGATAACAGCTTCGTACTTTATCCCATAATAATGGCATCCAACTCATTACTGCGCCTTCTCCACAGCTGCAGGGCAAACAGTGCAGGTTCCTGTGAAGCTTATGAATAAAGCTTTAATTGACAATGCCATGCCAATACATTTTAATTACTGTTTCAACAATATAATTAAGTTTTGAATTTATACTCTCTTATAACCATAGAAGTTTGCTGAGCCGAAGAACCCGATACCAATATTAACGAACCTACTAATTGAAGCAGTATGCAGAGTAAAAATGCCACTACTTAAGCAGTATCATTGGCACTTGTACAATAATTTAAGAAAATTAATTGCAATACATTAGGAGGGCTGTGCCTTCCAAAGCAGAAGTTTTTCTAAACAGATCATAAAACCTGGCCACCACTAGCCCCGTGATATTCTGGCATTTCTCCCGTGTATGTGCTCTGATGAATGAACTCACCACTTCTTTGTTTGGAAAGCTGCATCTCACTAGGTCCTGTTCCAGTATTTCAGACTTTGCAGCTCTAAGTGAACAATTCATCTAGTTTTCTCTGGCAAAAAAGAAAACTGTCCAAACAGCAATGTGATTCTGCCTGCTCTGTGGAGATATTTTAGATTCTTTCTCTCTGGGATTCTGAATGACTTGGAAAGATTATGGACTGAGGAATATTAAGTAGTGATTTGATGCTGTACCGTAGCACACTGATTTTCATAATGCAATAGATCTACCTGTTGCCTGGATGTAGATATTTCAGTTTGAAATTCCTAACGTTTGCTTAAAGATAGCCAGTGTGACAGCAATGTCATCACCAGGAAGCCTGGTAGAAAGATTAATTCATGGCCTGTACCAATGATATTCTGAAGCTGCTCTGCTCACCTGATTTCAGTTTTAGTCAAATGACAGAGAAAAGGACAAATGTGCTTAGAATTTATGTCAAAACTTGCATCTCGAAGAGTTATACTGAAATACAGAGGCTCATTTTGGTTTTATGTTCATATATGCCAGGCTTTTACTTGAATGGAAGATATAAAATGATGCTCATACTGAAGACTTCTAATTAAGGGATTCTTTTTATGACTGAGAATGGATATCAGGCTACATCAACAAGAGGGAGATCTTTTAATGGAGAAAGCTCTCAATCTTGTAATGTAACTGACTGGGTTTATAGTATAACTGTAGAGCTACAGTAAAAGGTTTTCTTGATTTTTTCTTTGCCAGAAGCCAAATTAAAAAAATGTCCATTTTAAGAAGATAAACATAAATTGTAAGATGTAAGCAGACATTATTCTGGATATTTGGTCTATCTAAATTGTATGTTCATGATGGACATAATTCCTTGGGATTAAATACTTTACAAAAAGTAATTTATAAAATGTCAACCACAAAGCAAAAAACACTGACAGGCATGTTTGTAGAAAGTCATAGTAACTAAAAATTTTTATATGATTTTCCTTAGTTTGTCTAACTTTATAAATCAATTCAGTTCAGCAAATGAATCTTAAGCCTCTGTCTAGTGAGGACATAAGCCCCAAAGCAGTGATGAGCTTTATTTTTCCCCTCTAAAAGGACAAGAAAGGGTATACTTCAAAACACAAATTCAAAAGCCTATCTAGAGCTAACAATGATTAGGAGATTAACTGTTTTTCATTTCTATTTCACTAACTTTGAATGCAAACCACTAAGGTGGTAACAGAAAGTCATTTTCCACCTTAGCTTACTGATGCAGAGTGACCAAGTTCATGGTCTCAGGGTATGATGATGGGAAGTCAAAGAGAATCGGCACACTTATTTAACCAGGATTTGTCTGGGGGAATCACATCCAAGATATGTTTAGTGGCTTTATGAACTGGAAGCAGAAATGGATTCAGAGGTATGGGGAAGATGAATATAGTTGCGAATGCAATCCCCATGACATGCACCTGTGCACTGCAGGGAGTTATTTTTAAAATTTTTTACGTTTTACCACCATGCTGTGTGAAAGATTGTGTTTGATGACTGACACTCCACTTCCACTTCACTCCAAGACCCCGAGTGAGGAGAAAGACAGTGAGAAGGGAGTGAGAAGGGTAATAAGCTAAATAAAGAAAAAACTGGTCTACAAAAGGTACTGTTGGTGAGTAGGAATCCTCAGTAAATAGTGTTGATTGGGGGAGAAACAAGGCTGCTTCTTTTAATTTTTTGGCCACACTACACATCATATGGGACCTTAGTTTCCTGGCCAGGGACTGAACCTGCATCCCTGCATCGGAAGCGTGGAATCTTAACTACTGGACCATCAGGGAAGTCCTGGAGGCTGTTTTCTTCATTGAAAGAGAATCAAGTTAGAAAATGTAGGGCTCTGGATCACCAGGAGCTTACAGAGGAACAGATAACATAAGGACGGGAAAGCTACTGAATGCTACATTGGTTTGGTGGTAAAAATAAGGCAACTTGAAGACACAGTTGGGGTCAAATGTAAACAAATACTTTCAAATCGTGTGTTTGTGAGAACTGCTGGGTGCTGTTGACATGGTTTTCTCTTTTGCCAATTTGGGCCAAGTCAGTGTGATAAATAATGTAATTACTTGCTCATCAACATCGTCTTGACTACTCTATTCATCAGCATCACTGCCTAGATTTAAGCAGTGAGCTGGGGAATATGGAAACTCACTTCTCTGGTACCCTCTGCTGCTTGGATTGCCCCACTAGTCCTAAAATCACCCAGCAGGTGTGGGCCCCAAATAGAGGAATGGAACAACAAGCCAGCACAAGATTTCTTAACTATTGTCAGACGGCACATCACCTTGAGGCAATCATATATTAAATGACCATTTGAAGGGAGTATTTATTTCACTTAGGAGCAAGTAATGAGACATGCACCTCCAAAGGTGAGTGATTCGTCTTTGAAAATTAGACATTCCAAGCAATATCATCTCTAATTATTTAGAGCACAGTTTTTCCAACTTGATGCTATTGACATTTTGGGGATATCTTTTTGTCATAGGAGGCAGGACTGTTCTGCACACTGCAGGATTTCTAGCTACATCCCTGGACTCTATCTACCAGATACCAGTAGCATCCTCCACCCTCAGCTGTAACAATCAAAAGCTATTTCCTGACATTGTCAAATGTTCCCTGGGGGATAAAATCTCTCCTAGTTGAGAACCACTGATTGAGTATTATCAAAGGATAATATCACTCTACATACTGCCACTATATTATTTTCTGAGGTAAGACACATGGAAAGAATGCTTTGGTAATTATTTAAAATTAATATCTGGACAAAACTTGGAAAACAATCTAGGGTTTGGTAATGGTATAGTTTATGAGGTATAGAGAACTTCCAAACATTCATTTCTTATTGAATGTGTCTCATTCATATGCGAAAGTACACATTAATTTGCTTTGACTGTGTCTGCAAAGGATCTGTAAGACCTTTCTAAACTAGGTTATTTTTCTAAGTTTTCTTCATAATTATGCCAGAGAAAGAGTTACCTGGCATTAATCAAAATCATACAGTGAACAATGACAAAGGACTAGGGTGAAGAAATATTTCTTTTAGAAATTCCTAGAGGGAAAACAAAAATTGATTAGGAAAAAGTTCACTGAGTTTTGTTGAAAGATGAAAAAGATTGAAAATGAGTAGAGCACATAAAAATGCAATTATTTTTTTAACATGGTTTGTCCAGGGATATCAACTGTTTAAGCCAACAGAAAGATAAAACAGCTGTGTTTCAAATTCAGTATCAAAGGTATTTAGAAAATATGATCTACTGAATGGTATAAAAATCCTTTGAAAAATTGTGTGGAGCAGAATGGTTAAATGTAGAGTTGTTTCAGAAAATAAAATCTAAACAGAATCACCAGGGTAGCACAAAGATTTCATACCTCCAGATTGTATTTATATTTATTTCTAGAATTCTCTTGTTAACTTATTTTTAAAAAATGAATTTTATACAATTTTCAAAGTGTTTGTCTTTATTCTGGAAGATTCCATGATCTTTTTTAATCCAGTGTTTCTTAATTGCTACAACAGTTCCTAGCTGACTTTTTTTTTCTATTTTGCTTATTACTTGCGAATATTCCAGGGGTCAAGTATCCGTACACCATTTTCCTCTCCCTGTTGAATCGCTTTAGACTTATTAGCTGAGCTATGGCTTTTGTGGCAATATAATTCATGGAAAATGGGTAAATAACCATTGTATGTTGCTTTAAACACTGATAAAATTAAATTAGTATAAAACTTAGTGATCTTACTATTTTTTAAAAGTACCTTTATAAATAATTAGAAGATATTCATTTACAGAGTGGCTTTTATGAGGGGGAACGTGACAGAATAGAACATCAGGCAAAACTAAATGAATACTTTGACGTTCATGATCTCTGTCTACCTCTAGAGCACACGGGTCAACCTGAGACTGACCTAGATCTGTTGGAAGTTCAGTGATTCTCTAACTTACCTTGCGATCACAAAAAGTACACAACTGACTCCTAAGCAGGCTAAGAGGACATACATCCAAATGTCAGGGGACAGGGGGTTGAGGAAGGAGAAGACCCCTGGATTAGTGCCATTGGGCTTCCGGTAGAGAATGCTGATGCCCAGGGTCATGAAGGGCTTGGAGAAGTCGATGACTTTTTCCCGCACGTAGGTGATGGTTAGAGGAGCCACTGCCAGGTCGGCCTTCTGCAAAAGCAAGTTGGAAATGGTGCCTTTAGCTGGCTAGCTCCCGAGAGAATGTCTAGACTTTCCCTGGGTCTCCTGATTCCCATGCTCAACTCCAAAAACTTCTCACACAAGAAGCTTCTATGACGATTGACTCTGACATAAAAACAGTTGACTACACAGTTATGTTTATGGAATAGTACTTTTTAGCAAAGAGAAAGCAGGTGTGAAACACACACAAGCACACACACACACGTATATATGTAAGGCAGGTGATATTTAGTTACTAAGTCATGTCTGATTCTTTCAACCCCATGGACTGTAGCCCATCAAGCTCCTATGTCCGCGGGATTCCCCAGGCAAGACTACTGGAGCAGGTTGTCATTTCCTTCTCCAATATATATGTGTTGTTGTTCAGTTGCTAAGTCATGTCCAACTCTTTGTGACCCCATGGACTGCAGCTCGCCAGGCTTCCCTGTCCTTCACCATCTCTCAGCCTTTGCTCAAACCCAAATATATATGTGTTAAACTCAAATATATATGTGTTCCACATATACACATATATATGTGTATATTCTGGAACTAAATGGAGGTGGAAAAACTGCAGAAAAATGTCTTTAAAAAAGGACATGTGAGAAAAGTAAGAAATGAGCAACTTGGTCATAAAATTAGTTGATGAGATTTTGCTTCAAGCTGCAAACTTCAGAACTCCTTATCTAATCTAAGAATCACTCAAGTTTCTTCTTCAGTATGAAGGATGAGCCCATAAATTTTTATCCTCAATTTTCATCCCTGTTGCCCTCCTAAGTAAGGAAACTACATTTATAGGTGGTTTTCTCCCACTTTTTAGGTCATTTTTATGATTTAAAAAAAATATGCCTTCTGACACTGACTCAAACATCTTTCTCTCTTCATTTACTTCTCATCACACATTTTTTAGACATTTAAGACCACAGTGCAGGAGACGCATTTCTGCTTACATGATCTATAAGCTCCTTGACCATTCCGTTCCACTCTCCCTTGTCATTCTGAGCTCCATATTTGCCGTCAGCGACGAGTTTAACATCGTAAATGAAACCCAGGATGTTTGACAATTCCTTCAACAGATCCAGGCAATATCCTTCAAATCTGTCATTTCCATACAGGGGCTTATCAGATTTCCTGTACATCACATAGGGTTCTTCCTATATGAAACAAATCACACGTGAAACCCTGTTGTAATGAAAGGCAGAATTTACTTACATGAGCTCCAACAACAGCCAGAAGATATAAAATATTTGAAAACAGTTTTTAAGATTTGAGAATATTAAAGAAAGTCACTTCCTTTTCTGTCTTTACTAAGCTCATCTTTTGTGCATCTTCTATAAATATAGAACACTTCCTATGTTGCTTTCTCTCCCTCTTCTCTCTGTGAGAGTTTTTTCCCCTCCACTGCTGAGGGCAGAGCTGTGAGTAAATGGTGTGATAGAGACAGAATCACGTTTAAACCTTAGGTCCAGCTGAGAAGGCAGTGGAGGATCTGATGTCTGGCTGTCTGGTTTTCAGCCGTGCCTACACTTACGCTTCTAGGGCTAGACCCACTTACCCTCCTGGCTTATATCTATGAACTTCACCTACTTACTAAAGGAAATCTAAATCAGCAAATATATTCTCTTATTTTTCAAATTTCCTCTCTCCTAAGTACTCGAAATATTTTAATTTTCTCATTTTTCGCTAAATTGCATTTCAATATCACTCTTCCCTTAATACTTACATATTTTTCCTGGTTTCCTTCAGGATATCTTATTCAAAGACTGTTTTGATGTCTCCTTTCATCATCAGTTACATTTTCTTATTTGAACTCATCCCAGCGATCCTGTCTTGTAAGTTCTTTGTTTATATGATAAATCCCCTATCCTATGAATAATGGACATTTCCTTACAACTATGTATCTCTAGCCTTATTAATTCTCATTTGACTAAGTAAAATTTTACTTTATTATATAAAATCAAAATAGTTACTATGTTACTGATCCATCCTGTATGTTTAGGCTTATTCTCAAACAAACTGATAGAAGTAGAAAACTCTATAGTTCCATGAGAAAGTTGCAGAGAAACTAGTCACCAGAAAAAAAGTTTTTGTTTTGGATGAACGATTCTCAGAAACTGTTTCAGAAATAAATTTCACATAATGGAGTGAATCAAAACAGGAATGTCCACAAGTGATTTTAGAGGCGGCCACTCCTATATATTTCTTGGATTGCGTGTGTGCTAAGTTGCTCAGTCACTTTAGTCATGTATGACTCTTTGAGACCCCATGGACTGTCCCCCACCAGGCTCCTCTGTCCATGGGATGCTCCAGACAAGAATACTGGAGTGGGTTGCTATGTCCTCCTCCAGGGGATCTCCCCGACCCAGGGATTGAACCCACAACTCTTAGTTCTTGCATTGGCAGGCGGATTCCTTACCAGCAGTGCCACCTGGGAAGCATCATTCTTGGATTAGGGAGGAGCAAAGAGGGAGGACCAACAGTTTGTGAGTGAATAGTGGCTGGGTGGGGCATGACAGGATTGCCACAGGGAGCAGGAGCTGCCTTTACCTGGGATTTTAAAGAGCAGTCAAGAAAGGACTTCCCTGGTGGCTTGGACGGTAAAGCATCTCCCTACAATGCAGGAGACCCAGGCTCGATCCCTGGGATCGGGGAGATCCTCTGAAGAAGGAAATGGCAACCCATTCCAGTATTCTTGCCTGGAAAATCCCATGGATGGACAAGCCTGGTAGGCTACAGTCCACGGGGTTGCAAAGACTCAGACATGACTGAGCGACTTCACTTTCACTTTTCTTTCAAGAAAGGAGTGCCACTAATAAAGGAGCAGTACAGAGGAATGAGCAGGCCAAGGGGATTTTGGACGCACACAACAGCAACCAGCAGCTGGAAGAGAGACCTCAGCTCCCTGACCAGGAGTCCTAATTGCTAGACCACAGAGTCCAGCAACTAGGGCCCAGTCCTCACTTACCTTGACAAGACAGAATTCTGAGGAGGAGGTGGAAGGCAAAGAGAAAAGTAAAATGTTTATTGGAAAAGCAGAGTGCAAGCAGAAAGACACATGGGTGAGCTCTGCAAAAGAGGTGTGCCTTTGGGAAGTTTATATCCTTTATAAAGGGATGGTTTTTCCGAATCTTTGTCTTTCCACTGGCCAGTTGTGTTCTCTACCTGCCACCCCCCGACACTTGCCAGCTAATTTGTCTCAGGACCTTCCCCTAGGTGCACCTGGAAAATATGGATTTCCATGCAAAGGCGTCTGGGAGGAGAGAAGCAAGACTTATTCAGGCCTGGCATCCCCTGAATTTTGATCCCCAAGGAGCCTCTATGCACAGGTGTACTGTCTCCCTTGCCCCAAGGAGAGGGGCTATGTGACCTCTTGATCCTTTGCTCAGGCAAGGTTTAGTCCCTCTCTGTTCCTACATGATTGCTCTCTTAATATGTCCACAAGAGACAAAGCTGGGGATTTCATCCCTGCTTCTGTTGTTCCTTCCATTTCAGAGAGCAAACAGGAGGCTGAATGTAAATTCCTAACCTGGAGCCCACTGATCTCCTGTCTCAGGCACTGCAAGCAGTGGTCAGGCCTGAAGCCCATTTTTCCTGCAGGGGTGAACATACGGGTGCTAACTCGCTTCAGTCATGTCTGACTCTGTGCGACCTTGTGGACTGTAGCCCACCAGGCTCCTCTGTCCATGGGGTTCTCCCAGCAAGAATACTAGAGTGGGTTGCCATGCCCTCCTCCAGGGGATCTTCCTGACCCAGGGATCAAACCCAAGTCTCTTCCATGTCCTGCACTGGAAGGCAGGTTCTTTACCACGAATGCCACCTGGGAAGCCCCGTAAACATGAAGCTGGTTATAAATGTCTACCCTGGAGCCCATCTGTCTCCTGCCTCAAAAGCAACCAGCAGGGATGGTGGTAAAAGTAATAGGGGGATGTCGACCCTCTGTGCTAAATTGCTTCAGTCGCGTCTGACTCTTTGTGACCCTATGGACTGTAGCCCGCCAGCCTCCTCTGTCCATGGGCTTCCCCAGGCAAGAATACTGGAGTGGGTTGACATGCTCTCCTCTAGGGGATCTTCCTGACTCAGGGCTTGAACTCAAATCTCTTATGTTTCCTGCATTGGCAGGTGAGTTTTTTTACCACTAGTGCCAACCGGGAAGACCCGCGACCAACACAATTAAGAGGCTAGCGCTAAGGCAGGAAGGGAGGAAGGAGTGGTCCAAGAGCGCAGTGCAGGTAGACTGCAGGATCAGTGACAGGAGAGAAGCTGAGGCTGTGAAGGACAGAGGTTCTGACCATGCCATTGGGAAGCAGGGGAAGACATTTCCTCGCATCTCTTCCTCCATCCACCTCCCTGTTCTCTTACCAGAATCTCCCCCAGGCTGAAACCACCCACAGTCAGAGAGCAAGGGGAACAAGCTGGGGAGGACTAGGGAGTGGAGCGGAACATAGCTAAACATGGACCAGAGACTGGAGAGCTTCAGAACAAGGTTGGAAGTGGGTAATTCAGTCCACTACAGATATACGTAAATATATGCTTCTAGTGCCCCAATTAAAAATAGACATTTACAGACAGAGGTGTTGGCACGAAAAAGATAGCTGAGGAATCCTTCAAAGTCTAGCGTAAGAGTTTCGATCAGATGCCCTGGATTCCACAGACTCAACTTACCAGAATGGTGGTGACGATGAGCGTTCGGTTGGCAAGAGAGTCGGTGATATTATTGGACCTGTCTTTGTTGCCATCTGTCATGTTAAGCCCGCTGTTGGAGTTCCAAATCCCAATCTACACAGAACACATCACATCAGAGGCTGCTGACTGTAGGTGAGGGTGTTTATGCTAAAGAGAGGCCCCTTCTACACCAGGAATAGGCACAAAAGTCTGGGAAGAGGACAGCAGGCATTGCAGGGGAAGCTACTACATGTGGGAGCGTGAAACAACGGAAGGACGACTGCGTACATGGAACAGAAAATTTGTGCTGTGTGGGGTGGAGGTAGGGGGAGGTCTTTTTAACTTATTAAGTTCAATGTTCTTTTCTAAATTAACAATTAGTAAATGAGTATCAAATTTTCTTCCAATATGTATTTGTTGAACACCAACTTATAAACCAGGGATTCTTCTAGGCATTGGAGCACACAGCAATGAGCAAAAGAGACAAAGACTTCTGCTCTGGTGGAGCTCACATTAGACTGAGACAGATCTTATGTTGCCAAAGTATTACCATCAGTGCCTTTAAAATTTATGAGAAATGGGACGGAGGAGGCAGGGTGGACAGTGAAGAAGCTGGGCATCTAAAAGGGAAAGAAAAATGGAAGAAAAAGTGTGGATGGGCAGGAGACCAAGTTCTAGGCCCATCATTGAGGAACTAGTGCTGGGTGAGGGTGTCTCTTGTAGACGCTGGTAGAACCCTCTTCGTACCTCCATTGCACCTCTGTTACGGACCTTCTTCTGTTCTTATCATCGGTTTATGTCTTGTTTGTTCACTTGACCATGAATGCCTTTAGTGAAGGTATTACTTCTGTTGCTTATTGATCTTTCTGTCACCAACCAGTGGATTGGCAGCCAGTGAAGCCTATTGTTCTTTTAAGAAATGGTAACCCCAATTTCCTCCAGTGGCTTGGGTTATTAGAGTCTGTAGAAGTAGATTGATTTGTTCTGCCTCTAGGGACAATCTAGGAGCAGGGCCTTAGGGAACTGGTTCTTTGTCTGAAGTCTTCTGGAAGCATTTACTGACAGGCTAGTGAGGTGGAATGCCAACCTGGTTGCTGGGTGACCTTGGGCAAGATGCTAACCTTTCTGAGCTCTGGTTCTCTACCTATAAAATAATTTATAGGGATGTTGAGAACATCAAATGAGTAGATGCATGTGAAAATACTAGTATATGTTAAGAGCTGCATGAATGTTAACAATAAAGGGCATCAAAATGATTGCTCCAGTAATTTCTTTAAGCTTGCCCTGTTATGAAAGAACTTGGAATCATTAGTGAAATCCTTTTTCCTTGAAATTTATAAGCTGATAAAGGAGCTATGAAAAACAGGGACAGTTTAGGAAGACCAATACTTGGATGCAGGCTGCGGTGGACAGGGCAGACCCAAGCTTGATCTCTAAATATACTCTTCCACTGGGAGGTCATTGGCTGGCTGGACAGAGCATGAGCTTTTCAGACAGACTCTTGTCCAGATTCTACTTTTGCGATTTACCAGCAGTGTGACCCTGGGGAAGTTAGTTTTCTTACCAGTGAAATGGAGACAATAGAACTCTTCTGATGATTAAATAAAATTTCACCTGTAGGAAGGTTAGGCTTCTTTCCTTTTCTATTTGTTTAGTTTGATTTACTGCCCAAATGCAGCAGCTGAAAATTCATTTAGCCCAACAAATTTTCTTTTTAGAAATATAAATTCTTTGAGGTAGTTTCAAGGACTATTACAGATTTGTTCATCAGTGTGAACTATTTCAATTTTACTATCTTCTTTCTATGCTTAATAAGGGCTAGTTGGATAGTGAAATCAGGAGACAGGTCTAGGTTAATTGGGTTTGGGGGTAGTTTCTGGATTTGAAAGTATTTCGATCCTGTCTGTAGAGAGAGCACTAGTGGAAGGATTAAGCTGTAGGATAACACCTTTAATAACCATTCAGTCTTTCCAGCATCAAGTGTAATATCCATCACTTAGAATGCATGAAACACATGCCTGCTGGTTGAAGAACCTTTACTTTTCTTTGGCTTTGAACTCAAGAAAAAGGGAAAATTTTTTTTCTTCCCTCTCTTCTAAACTCCACCTGTCTTCTCACTTTTGTGGGGCAGGGACCCTTGTTTCCAGGAAATGTATCTCAGACTAACTACAGTAGGGAGTCTATGAATTTTTAGCCAAAACTATGTTTTAGGTTGTAAACAGTTGAATTCTAACTCTACGAAGACTGTGTTTCAATTGGGCCCTTGCTGTGTTTTTAATTAAACCTTGACTTAGGCACTGGGGAGAGGGGAACCTAATTTTTAATTAAATATTGAAAACTGGAGAAAATAACTGCATTTTAGCCAATTTATTAGCTAGTGAAGTATGTGCTCAGTAACTCTTATTTCTATTAAAGTCAAATGTTTAAAAGACTTACTTACACTAATATTTGAAATGGTAGGGCTGATTGACCTTGCAACATCACTCTCTTTTAAAATACAAACTTGAAATTGTAGACAAATATATCCCACAGCTTAGCATCTGGATTTGCCTCTTTTACCAGCCTCACTAAAAAGTGTGGAAGGTGATGATATCATTGCTGTTGCATTTGTAACCTAATGAGTCCCAAAGTACCCATCAGTGTAGACTTTCCTCCATAAAATAAGAAAAAGAAGAATTTTTCCTACTATTGGTGTAATGGAAGTGTCCTCAAATCTAGACTAAAAGAATATCAAGAAACAGTAAAGATCAAGTGATTCATGGGAGGTGGACAGTTTACATATGAGGTTTGAATGATCTCAGCCTTGCATTTTCAAACATTTTAATCAGCAAAGCAAGTAGAGTGTGTATGTTTGCATACAGGGGTATGTGCATCTTTTAAACCAAAGTTGTCAATTGGCTTTGCCTTTTGTTTAACTGAAGTAAAATAACATGTTAACAAATGTCTCTTTCTGAAAAAGCAAGCTCCCATGATTCATCCGTGCTGGGAGGTTGTTGTTCAGTCAGGAAGTACTGGTGGGGGTAGTTAACCAGGTGCCTGGATATTTAGCATTTAGCCTTTCAGTCCTGTCCTCTGACCTTGGAGCATTGCCTCTAGGAAGCAGAACCTCAGTTTTCAAACTGTACAGCAAAAGTGGTCAGCAGTAATTTACTGTGAGAAGCAGTGGAAGGTGGATCAATTACTTGTGGGGAGGAACACTCAAAAGCTGAATAGTCTGGTCCTGTCTTCTTTCCCTTTGTAAACTGGCATGAGGGAACAGTCATTTATCATCTAGGACTACAGAGGGAAGCATTTGAAAATGAGGGCTTAAATGCAATTAAGCAGGTCTTTTTAAAAAAGGTAATGTGACAAAGGGATGCTCAGAAAGTGACTAAGATCCATCTCTCAAACCTGGTATGTGATTCACCTAAACTCAAAATCCAAAAGTGCTGAGTGAAGTAATCAAGTATCTAGGGGAAAGAGGTGACTTTGTTTCCCATATGATGAGTTTTATAAACATATATTTTAGTGATGAGCTTTGTAAAGACTGCCATATCCCTTTCTTGGAAAGAACTTCAGGCAGACTGTTCTCGACCGAAAAACGTCAGAGTACAGAAAAGAGCTTTTGGAATCAGAATGCAAAGGGGGTGAATCCTCCTGCTGTAGGGAGGAATCTTGTAGGGAAAGGACAATGTGTTGGTTGGGTCTCAACAGGTCTCTTGTGCTAGCGCTCTGATTACTGCACATTGTTGATGAGGAGTCATAACATAGAACAGCACACCACAGTATATGCAGCTTGCAACGTGGCAACAATGGGTCAGCAGAAGGAAGAGGCACAAAGGCATGGAGGAAGGCGGAAAGCCAAGAAGTGCATCCTTGGGAAGTGGGGGTGATTATTGCAGTTTAGTGACAAATAGAGGACATTCCCCTCCCTTGAGAATAACTTCAGGGCTTGGATTTCATTCCCGAGGATATTTGGTTTGAATTAATTCAACATTGCAGAAAATGCCTGGAGTTTCAAGCTGGATTAGTGTAATAAGCTTTTTTCTGGGTACCGGTTAGGTTCATCTATGTATTAGCATAGAGGAGATGGGATTGTCTTCCTTGTGCCTTTGGTAGCCTTATTCATCGAAAATTAAAACACAGTTATTAAACCTGTGCTTATTTAAACTTAAAAGCAAGACATTTTGGAGCTCATCTGAGTATGCTCCAAAAGGGAGACAAGGCTTCTGACTACAGGGAGAAACTGTTTACACTTTCTGTGACTTAACTCATAATTCAAAAGATGAAAGTGAACCTGACTAAACTGTTCAAGTTGAACAACCTGGAGCAATTTAAGGTCCATATGTCAATCAGCAGGTAGTTTAGCAAGTGGTTTGAGGGAGAGAGAATGAAAGACCATGTTTGCATATCGCTGGGACATTTTCTTGATCAGAATGTTTGTAATGTCTAACTTTTGCTTCTGTAATAAATCTGTGCACATTCATTGACAACATAATACTGTACAACAAGCTGTGAGATAGTAGGTGTTATGATTTATAAGACAATCTCATTTCCTTTTCAAAATCTCTAATGTTTTTGTCCTCTGGAAACTGTGGTTCTAAAGCAAATTATGAAACAATATGCACTGACAAGGTTTTGTTTTTCTGCATAAAATGAAGATGGTGTGTAATAAAATGGAATTTCTGAAAATGGTTCATATATTTTGTGGTGGTGATATTGAAGGAGATGTCCTGGCCCCTCAGAGCCTTAGCCTATCTGACTAGTCTGATGGATCAAATCTATTGTATTTTTTTTCCCCTTAGGGAAAAAATATTTAGAGTCAAGAAAGACTATAAATGGACCAGTGCCTGCTTCTGTTGCAGCTACCTGCTTTTAGTCCTAACAGGGACTGATCCTACTCAGGAGAAACAAAAATAATCCAGAGGGAAATATTTAATCCATCATTATTTAATCCATCTCAAGTCTGTTTCAATTCCCAGGCAATGTTGTTGAGAGACAACATATTCAATCACCCGTGTTTTCCCTTCACGTGGAATTTCGCCTCTAAACTGCAATTAGAGAGCTACTGGTCTGACAAAACTGGAAGGATGCAGGCTTTTCCTTTGGTAATCCCACCCCACTCCCAGATTTCCTGCAGGTTTTGTCCATGTACAAACCTTCTTCCACACTTTATATAAGTGCTTAGACACTTCGCCAGCAGCCTTGGTTTTCAGAGGGGAAAAATAAAAATAGCACTTAATTAAAATGGAGCATGGAAGCCAAAAGGCATCATGGGACGTGAGTGCTCACAGTTACATACCCCACCCATTGTTTGGAATCTTGCATGTTCATTCAACAGAAAGCCTGAGAATAGGTACAGTAAAGACAGGGACCAAGTCTTTGAATCCTACAGATTCAAGGACTTGAATCCTACAGAAGTTACTTCTCCTTGGTGGTGGAACCTGATATTCACTTTTGCTTTTGCATGCCAAAAAAAAAAAGGCAAAATTCTTTTGAATATGCACACCTATGCTGCAGAGCTTAAAGTCTCCGTCATTCCTGTTAAAGTCATTTATAACCAGATAGGTCAATTAACCAACACACACATTATTCCTTAGTGAGAAGAAAGTGTGCTTATTATTCTTTGATTAGGTGCTTCTGGGCAGTAGAAACTTGAGTGAAAGTGAGAAAATAGGCTTTTTTTTAAAGCAGTTTTCCTCCTGGACCCCGAAAGAGGCTGACATGAAAAGATGGGCGTTTCCTCCCTTGCCAACTGAGAGCGATAGGATGGCTTCCCTCACTGCCTTAAGGCTCAGTCAGCCTTCTCAGGAACTGAGCCCAAGTGACCTGGAGGAAGAAAAGTTATTGCAAACAATGAAGAGATAAGAAACAAATTGAGAAAACACTTTCATCTAATTCAATTTTGCCTTTGTTAGAAAAACACCACTAGAAACACCACTTTGTTAGAAAAACACGCATAATATTGCCGTGTATACATAGCTGGGAGAGCATAACAACAGCTCCATCTATTTCATCACAAGTCTGAGCCAAAAAGATGTTTCCTTAACAGACTTTCTTCCTGCTGCAGTTTGGTACTGTCAGTGCAGTGGAGAGGGAGAGAGAAAAGCATGTACAGAGAAGCAGACATTTTCTTTTAAAAAGAACTGTTATTGCCTTTTAGTCTGTAACAAGTATTATTTTCTTTCCTTTTGTTCCCTGCAGCCCAACGTCCACATTCCATTACAGAAGTTAGGTGGGTGCCTTGGGCTCTGTCAGAGTGGGCTAAACCAGCAAAAGAGGGAATCAGAGTGAAGAAATGCGCGCGCGAGAGAGAAAGAGAGAAACAGTGAGAGGTGCAGAGAGAGACAGAGAGGAAGAGACAGAGACACGTACAGAGAGAAAGAGACAGAGGAAGAGAAGAGATGAAGAAAGCGGGCATTTTTGAAAGCGGAAACCTGTATGACTAATATGGACTCTCAAAGTTGTGGACTCATTCTTCTCAAGCACTTCAACACTAGAGGCTACCTTTTACATTCAGCCTAATTCATCTTTGCTTGTTTTCAGTAAGCTATTTGGCAGTGGGGCAAATGTGCCTCGGTGGCTTCCCTGGCGGCTCAGATGGTAAAGAGTCTGCCTACAATGCAGGAGACCTGGGTTCAATCCCTAGGTTGGGAAGATCCCCTGGAGGAGGAAGCAGCAACCTGCTCCAGTATTGTTGCCTGGAGAATTCCATGCAAGGAGAAGCCTGATGGGCTAAAGTCCATGGGGTCCCAAAGAGTCGGGCATGACTGAGCGACTTCCACTTTTTTTTTTCCCAAATGTGTCTCCGTTAACAAAAGCAACAAAACAGAAATGGAAACATTATCTCATTTTAAAAATCAACCCCCAAGTAAAACATTGTTCCCAAAGATGTTCTTTTACATTAAGCATAACTTTTTGACCACTAAAAGTGAAAAAAAAAAAAAACCAAAGAAAAACAACACTGGATTATAGAGTTTAGGTGTTCAGACAGTTGTTTGGGGGGGGTTTCAAGATCTTTTATCCCTAAGGTTCTAAAAGTTAAAGTCTTCACTATAAGTGTTAGTTATCCCAATATATAGTGAAGACTTTAACTTTTGGTGTAATTGGTGTAATAAATTGGTGTAATAAAGAGAAGGCAAATTCTTTTATTATTATTATTTTTTAAAATATTTGTATTATTATTATTTTATCTTTTGGCTATGCTGTGTGGCATGTGGGATCTTAGTTCCGTGACCAGGGACTGAACCCTTGTCCCTGCATTGTGAGAGCAGAGTCAACCACTGGACCACCAGAGTAGTCCCTATTATTATTATTAATCAATTAAATAACTTACATTTGCATTGCCCTAAATAGTAAGTTGAAACATTGAGAGGTTGAGAATTACAACTATAATAATCCTAAAATCAAACTCAACGTTAAAATACATTGGTAAAGCATATTTCCTCATAAAATTAAGGATGCAAAGTTAGTTTGCTTCAGTAAACCTTTTACATTCTACTTCATTCTGTCCTCTGTCACCCATCTCAACATGGAGTACAATTAAAATTCATTTTTGACCATTGGGTGTCATTGCAAAGATAAATCATTGACAAGCTTCTGATTTTCCAAGTCTGAACTCAATTTCTTAGAACCTGTGAGATAGGGGCTAATGCTCCCCACCCCTAGACTGTATGTATGTAATAACAGAATCATGCTTGTAAATATGCCAAGCACTATGTAGCCATTAGCACTGCTATTGATAGCACAGGCGATTTAAGAATCTAGTACATCAGCATCGATTTGCAGATCAGAGAGAGGGAGCTAGAAAACTGGACATAAATGAATAGGCTGGGAAAATAGCTTCATCATTCCCCTACTTACTGTGCAAGTAAAATGCATGCGAGGTGTTCCTTTGTAATTTTCAAATTTATCATCAAGGAGGTTACCTTTTCAGTTCCTTCCTCTTTGAGACTAATAATGTCCAGATCAAAATCCTTCCTCAAGCCATCGGTTTTATTGAAAGTGATACGCCCAGTCAAGCCATCCCACTGAGCCTATGGACAAAAGGAACATGGTGTTACTGTTTAACACTTATAATCCTTAACACCATCAAGGTGGTAATACCTCAGATTCATCACAGTATCCAATTATTCAGCTTCATCATGGTGTTATAAACCATTGTGTTAGTTCAGTAACTTGATAGCAGAACACTTCACTATTTTATTAGCACTCATTTATTTCGTCAGTTCTAACATCTTCACATCAGTCAAATCTGTAATAGTCACACTCTAGATGGGGGAGTATAGAAAGATTGACTGTAAAAAGGTCTGCCCATGGACCTAACAAAGTCTGGGAAGCCACAATATTTGGTTTTCCAAGGTCAATCCAAATCCCTTTCAAGGGACTGCCCAGGTGAAGTAATGCCCCTTTTTGTTCTTCAAGAAAAGGATATAATCCATTGACCAAGTTTTTTTTTTTTTTTTTAAGCAAACAGAAGCTGAGGAAGTTGGTTACCACTAGACCTGCCTTACAAAATATGTTAAAGGGAGTTCTTTGAGTGGAGGAAAAAGAATACTAAATAACATAAAGACATAAAAAAGACGGATGCTATGTGGTAATCAGCTCATTAAATATGTAAATCAAACCATTAGGCTCTTCATCTTAGACTTCACAGTGATTAGTCGCTAAGTCATGTCTGACTCTTTTGTGATCTCTTGGACAGTGCAGCCAAATAAAATAACATAAAACAGATAAAACACAGTAGTCTGCTCTTCAGAGGATTCACAATGGAGATCTTAGGTCGTTTCATGAAATAAAAAATAGTGGCCCCAGAGGTTGTGAGTAATCACTAGGTTACTCTTGATAACCTTGCCTAATTTGAGTTGACTTACAAATGAGGATAAAGGAGAACTCAGTTCTTTGTATGCACTTAGCTATTTTCCCTCTCCCAATTTGACCAAATTCATTAGATATATGTAAGATGTGAAAAAGATCCTGAGAGCTATACCATATCCAGAGACTTCATGCCATGTGTGTCTGTTGAATATATTTACCCATTTGACCAAGAGACAGAAGCAATGCAGTGGAAAGAGCATAGGTTTATCACAGAGCTGGTTTTAAATCTCTGAAGTATGACTTCAAGCAAGTTACTTAATCTAAATCTGGGTTATCTCAGGCTTCCATGTTTATCCATACAGGGTTTTTGAGAGATTTAAATGGCACTTAATACAATTCTTACCACATTGAAAGCATTTAACATTTTAACGGAGATTATTTTTACAGCCATCTCTTATTTTTCTTCCCCACATTCAAAATTCTAGAATTTGTCTTTCACTACTGCTAATGTCAGTACTCACAGGTGTAGTCTTTCCTGGTCTCTTCTGAACTTCATTTTACATATTAACATCAAATTCATTGTTCTGAAATATAATTTTCTATTTATGCAATTTCTCTCAACACATAAAGTACATAATAAATTGATGTCACCTATAAATGAGTCTAACCTTGACTTTACATTTGTAGTTATGCTTAATTTCATGTGTAAACTTTATTGGGTCATAGTATGTTGTTATCTGGTTAAATATCATCTCTAGGTGTGTCTGTGAGGCTGTTTCCATTTGAATTAATAGAGCATATCGCCCTCTCCAATGTGAGTGGGCATTATCTCATCCATCGAGGGCCTGAATAGAACAAGGAACAAACAATCTTTCTGACTGTTGAGAAGGGGGCTTCCACCATTAGTGTTCCTGGTTCTCATCTTCTTGGTGCCAAGAAGCATCAGGAAAGAGAACATCTAGTAGTTTACAGTTTAGTAGGAATAAGCGTGTTAATGTATTTCAATGAAACACCCCTGTGAGGATAAACAATTTGCACATAGTAACTGAAAAAAGAAGTATGGATCCTATTTAAACCACTGCAAGAACAAAAGGACCAGGAAAATATATTTTGAGGAAAGTAGGCCTGAACTCTCAAAGGATGAGAAGTGTGCTGTGCTAAGTTGCTCAGTCATGTCCAACTCTGCGACCCTAAGGACTGTAGCCCACCAGGCTCCTCTGTCCATGGAATTCTCCAGGCAAGGATACTGGAATGGGTTGCCATTTCCTACTCCAGGGGGTCTTCCCAATCCAAGGATCAAACACAGGTCTCCCACATCGCAGGCAGATTCTTTACCGACTGAACCACCCGGGAAGCACTTCATTGAGAAGTTAGTTGACCAAACAAAGATTCACAGCCGGAGTAAAATCTGAAACACAAGGCAAGTTGTATCTGCCATGGATCCATCGTGCGAGGTAAGGATTGATAAGAAACGAGCCTGGGAAGGAGAGTAGGTGCCTGTTTGCAAAGGTGTCCTGAGTCACGCTCAATGGCTTGGACTTTGCTTCACAGACATTTGGGAATCACTGGAGTGTTTCAAGCCTATGGGTGTCATGGGCACATGTGCATTACAGCAAGACATTTTGGCAGAACTGAAGGAGAATGACTCAAGATTGTGAGCAGAAGGCTGGTTAACAGGTAGTTCTCAAAGAACAAAATGTACGGAAATGTACTCTCATTTCCATGTATGAACACAGGGACAGCACAGGTCCTTCATTTCCCTGTCCCAACAATTGTACACCACAAATACCATCAGGTATTAATAGAAGGAGTTCTACAGCAGGATAGATAGAGTTTCTTGAAGAAAATGTTGCTATTCAAGTTTTACCTAAAGAATATGCTGTAGAATCAACTTGTCCAGAACCAACACAATTTGCACAAAATGTATTTTCTGGCTATCATTCAGATCGAATGGATATCATGAAGAAGTACACTTTATCACCTGATAATGCTGGAAGATAAATCAAATTAATGTTGGGAAATGATGTGTGTACATGAAAAGTCTACACCTCTCATCTAAGCTGCTTATATGGCCAAACTAGATGTGAGTTAAAGTGCTATGACCCATATAGAAAAATGTTTGTGTTTTTTTTGATCCTAGAATTTGGTCTTCAGAGTTCATCACCAAGAGAGACCATAAGGTCAAACATTAGCTCCTACTTTAAAAAAGTGATGGTGTATTTTTATGGTCAATTCTAGTGCCTGTTGTTAGACTCTCTGAGATATAGGTCATCTCATTCTCTGCAGTAGGACAAAAACATCAGTATGGACGACATGTAGGGAGCCTCCTCTTGTGTGTACTTAGACACACCTCCTGACTTTGCAATTTCCCCTTTCACCTCATCACATCCCAATCCTACTTTTTGTAGTCAGGTCACTCTGTATTTTGCAAGTCAAAGGCTGGCAGATTAATGGGTTAACTGAGAGTTGCTAAAATAAGTTATTGCATTAGGGTTATAGCAGCTGTGTGAGAGTAGAGAGCAATTTGTCTATGACTTTGGTTCAGTGCAAATCTCTACTGTGTTAAGGGTTTGGACTAAGTCAGTTTTCAAACCCCTTCTTCATGCTTCTAAAAACGTGCAATTCTAACCCTCCTCCTGATATGTTTGGAAGGATGTAGTTATCTCCATTAAGTTCTGTAGGATTTGCAGAAAGCTTTTTCCTAGAGGCAACTTTTCCTTCATGGGGGTCATGCTGTGAGTCAACTCGATACATTGTCCAGAGTTTATGGAGCTTTCTGAAAATGTACAGAAATTGGTGGCATTTATCTCTTGATGTAGCATATAGTTCATAGCAAGGTCTTAAAACCCCATTCAGAAATCCAATTTTATTTCCACTAAGTGTGTCTATTGTGTCCTTTTGTTTGGATTCTGTGCTGCTGGTTGTATTCTTGAGTTTTGTGCTCCAATCAGTGGTGCAGAGTAATTCCCACTTCTCATTTCTCTTCCCTGCTCATCCAAGTAGTAAAAAGTCCCCTTTTCATGCTCTGACAATGCTTCCTTTCCAGCCTCAATATCTATAAAGACACCCTGCCCAGTCCTTTACTGAACTGAAATATCTTTTGACCTTCAAAGTCCAGTTTCCCTGACTGCCAAAATTACCTATGTGCTTCTGCTTCCTGTCCCTAGATGAATATTTCTTATATATTCTTTTTTCATTGTTTTTCAAACTAATTGTTGATAAGCATTTACTGAAACACCAATGCATTATTGATCAGGGTGAACAGACAATGACTATGATGAATAAGATCCATGAGGAATCCATTTTCTGAGACAAGCCTGAAGCATATGCAATTTAGATAATGATATATAATTATATTAGTCATAATTACAATTTGCTTGCCTTATGTAGAAGCATTTGCACAGAGGACAATTATAGTATACTTAACTGAAAACAATACTTAAACTATTGTCCCTATTTTAGGAAATCGCTTTAATTTCTACTCTGCGTTAGACCTCTTGATAACAACTGCTGATAGCAAGTGAGTCAAATGTTGTGACTTTCTTTCCTTTTATAAGATACGTTATTTGATGGCCAAGAGACAAAAATCAAGAGATGAAAGAAGAAAAATGGAAGTTTTTCATTTCATTTTCAAACATTTTCATTAATGCTTTTTCATTTGTATCTTCTTTCTCAAGATGATATACATTGTCCAAATAAAAGAAAATTTTAGTATTGAGGAAGAAAGTGGCTAGCATTTAACTCTTATAAGAGTCAGTTTTTAACTTCACTTAGTTAAAATGATTTCATTCTTTTTTCCTAAAGGGGACTTAAACATGTAAAAGAACATAAAGCCCCATTCCTAGAACTAGAATATTCCCTGACACACCCTGACACAATTTTCTCATTTTGTATATGGAAATAGTTTCCTATTGAAAGACATATGACTTTTTTTTTGAGAACTGGATAGAATGTGCTTTTCTCTGTTTATGCTTTTTTTCCCTTTCTGTTTCTTTTCTTCTGATTCTGTTTTGATTCTGATTTTTACTCAAGTATATCAGACTGAAAATATCATGCCTAACTCATAGCTTTAGCTATTTCTCTTCCAAAACTGGCTGCCAAGACCAGTGGATCCACATCTGGTTGCAGACCATGAGCCGTCTCCGCAGCGCTCTTTCTGGTGCACAGTTAGGAGAGCTCTTTGTGGCTCAGAAGCACCTGGTTTGGGCCATGACTAGGT